AGCACCTAACGATATACCTGCAGACATAACCAAAATAGTCCAAAGAACTGTTTAACTTGAGAATGACGGATTGAAGAACGGACACTAGTACAAATATAGACGGGGACATACAAATGACAGACAAAAAATGCTAAATAAAATTCAGAAAAGCATTAACCTTAAACGTGTTAAAAAGAACATAGCAATCAAACAACACCTCATTATTTTGATATAGCACATTATTATTTAACAAAGGATAAATCTGACCTATTTATTGATGAACAAATTAACAATTACTGTAAATGTTTTTCAGTTATGTTATATGCGTGTTTGCAGTGACGTTTCAGATTTCAATACACATACTTTCAGTCTTTAAAAACATTTGAAACACAGATGTAGATATCATGAATTAGTTCAAACTCATACAAAATTTTATTAGATATAGAAAAATTCGGATGAACATATGATTCCACCTGCAAAAGTTAGCTACAAATGGTACTATGATTTCAACTGTTAACGGCAATTATATTGTTTATAAAGCTAAGTTAAACATTAGAGCTATTTTCCCAATGCATGTAGTTTCAATGTTTGGAGGCTTGCTTGCTTTATTTGTATAAATGTTTGCTCAAGCATTGTAATTAAGATTGACATCTGCAATCAATAGATAGGCGGGGCTTCAGCTTGTATACCTTATACTTAAATGTTATTGGATGTTAAGTATAATGTAGAGTATAATGTATACAAGCTGAAGCCCCGCCTATCTATGATTGCAGATGTCAATCTTCATTACAATGCTTGAGCAAACATTTATACAAACAAAGCAAGCAAGCAAGCCATTCAAACCTTTAAACTACATGCATTAGGAAAATCACTCTAAACACGTTAGGAAATGTCCACTTTTCATATATTTTATTTCTGCTGGATAGGATAATTGATAAAAAAAAGTACTTTTATAGGGGAAAGGGGATGCTCATCAATTTATAAATCTAAAGTTTGAAAAAGGAGTATAATATTTATTTGATTTTTACTGAAATAAATTCTGATACTGCTTGTTAATCATGGTAAGTGCACAAGGCCGTGCCTATATGAAGTCTAATCCGAATTATAGCTACCCATTGTATAGCATAAATTTACTGTGAACATCGGCACTAGTTTGCATAGTTTATTGGAGCTGAAGTCACTGAAATACAAAAGGAAGATTTGGCACTCTGATTCACCCAAAATAATTATTTCTTTTGACAGTGCCTGTACCAAGTCATGTAAATGAAAGTCAATCACAGATGCCCCGTTGTCATCGTTATTCTTTTTATTTGAATAAATCTTTTATTTGTATAAATAGAAAGGGTATGTTATATATAAATTCATAAAACACAATCTTTACGCGAACTTAATGAAAACATACCCGAAGAAATAGTTTAATTTAAATTATATGTTCCGGAGCCAAGGATGACAATGTTTTTCCGAGGGGTAATAATCTGCTCTATCACCCTCTCAGCTATGTGTTATTTAATTTATTATACTGAATGTCCTATCATTATTGTAATTTAAACTTTAATTAAAAGTAATGATCTATGAAGTTGTTTACAAAACAACGTTACAGTTGTACAAAAATAACAAAAGTGAAACAAGAAGTTTGGTTTTTTTTGTATTTAAAGTGACAATTAATAAAAAACGTAAAACTTTATCTTTGTCTTTAGTATCATTGATGTAAATGCAATGCATTGTCTTTTGAATTATCGATTTTTGATTGGTTCGTACGAGAGGGTGACATTCAAAAATATTATCTCCCGCTGAGTCATGGGATAAAGTAAATTGTCTCCCGCGTATGAACCAATCAAAATCCGGCATTTTAACGTAAAGTATAATAATACTCTTTATCCTTCTTGGAACGCTCTCTTAGTTGTAATCTTAACGACTGAGTATCTCGAACGTCGATAATCAACTTATAATAAGATCGTCTTTGATTACTCTTAGCAAATTTTAAGTGTATTAGCATTCTTTTTTAACTGAAAACTTAACAGAGATTTCTAAGAGTGGTCAGGGGCACCCCTATCTCTCTTAGTTGATAAAATGTTCTTGTTTGTGCGTTCAAGAGAGCAAAATAGGATACCTATAAGGATCTTCAAAAGTCGATCAAGTCCATTGGATTTCCTAGAAAACTGTAGGATTTTTCCGTGATTATAGAATCGGAAAATGTCCCGAGTACATGTAACAGCATTTTTTCATCTGAATAACTGTCAGCATTGTTTATGATTTGTCTTTGTTAAAGTTGGCGTTTCTTATAAAAAATAAGATGTGGTATGGTTGTCAATGAGACAACTATCTTACAAGGTTCAAATGAGGTGGATGTAAGTTATTATAGACACTCGAACGGCCTTCAACAATGACAAAAACCCATACCATATAGTCGGCAATAAAAGGCCCCAACATGAAAAAATGAACAATTCAATTGAGAAAACCAACGGCCTAATATATAACAAAACAAATATAACAGACATAAACCAACGTCAACCGCTGAACTACAGGCTCCTGACTTGGGGCAGGCACATAAAGAATGTGGCGGGGTTAAAATGTTTGAGAGCGCTCACCCCCTCCCCCTAACCTGGGACAGTCAAGTTACAAACTCCGAAAATCAGTTGAAAAGGCTTAACTTATCAGATCGATTCCATGTAGATAAACAGCTAACAAATACACAAACCGGACGAGGTATGGTATTTATACATCCCTAACAACAAAAAAGACACAAAGTACAGATCTGAGGGTACTCGCAGTTACTGATAGCTAGTTCAAAGCCAATAACAACTAATGAAAAAAATCACGTATCAAAGACTAAAATATCTGTCAGTACACATACAACATCCAATTGATTTAGTGTAAAGACGTCATTAACAGTCAGAGGAACACATGACCTTTTGAATGCCAAAATATAGGTATAGACAGATTCTATTACCGTGAAAGGGCCTATGTGTATAACAATAATATTTAGTATGGTCTTTAATTTACTGATAACAAATCAATGTTTATACCAATAAAAACAATATTTAAGGTCTAATAACAATGTTGAATTGGTAACCTTCTAGAATAAGTTTATTTAAAGGAGTGCTAAGTCCTGATGAGTTTACCGGGATCGTATCTAAAATTTCAGGATCGGTAAACAAGAGGGTATGAATACCTTTTACCATCCGACGTCAAACGGTCATTTTCGTCAAAATATCCTTATCGTGATTCGGCACAGGTCTCAAATAATCTTCAGTTACTCGTTTTTATTTTTTGGAAAGAATTTATCGTGATTCGTCAAAATCAGTCGATTTTTTTATCGTCATAAAGAAAATGTACATTTTATCGTTATGCATCAAAACTTACCGTTAAGTCATTTGGTATGATTTTTTACCGTTATTCGTCATGAAGGTACCCCAATTACAACCCTAAAACAACATTACCGTAAAAATTGCATATGTGCTATTCTGTTATAAGTAATTTTTCTACAGGTACAGTCAAACTCGCAAACCAAATATATGCATCTATAGACAAATTTAATTTGTGGTAACGAAATTCTTGACTTAATAAATTGCCAGTAATACATAGATTACGTTCATTGGAATCTTAAACGTCACTACAGACAAGGACACACTCAAAACGAACGAGTTTGGGTATATAAACACAGCAAGACGGTGCCAAAGGAACGTCGCCGTCAAAAGATGAAAAATTAACAATAGAGAAAGAAAAATCGTCCTTTGTTTTCCTCGAACCGTTTGGAGCACCTGCTTCTCCCATTTTTTGTTTTTTATTCAGTGATTGACAATATTTCTTTAATATAAAAATAAGGAGATATGGTATGATTGCCAATGAGGCAACTATCCACCAAAGTTCAGATAAAGTGGATGTAAACAATTACAGGCAATCGTAGGGTCTTCAACAATGAGAAAAACCCATACCGTATAGTCGGCTATAAAAGGTATATACATGAAAAATATAAAACTATTCAATTGAGAAAACCAATGGCCTAATTTATAACAAAACAATTTACGAAAAAAACATATAGGACAGACATGTATCAACGACATCCATGTGAGCTCTATACGACAACCACTCAAAAACACTAAATGCTCAATCAACTAATGACTTTGGACCGAGCTTTGGACATGCAGGCAAATATAGGATCATATAGAATGTGGCGGGGTTCAACATGTTTGTAGGCGCCAACCATCCCCTAACCTGAAACAGTGGTGTAACAGTATAACATAAGAACAAAGAACTGGAACAAACAATAAAAACAAGGATTGAATTTAAGTATGTTTTTCTACCGTTCAATTAAACGCACAGATGACTTTTACTACCGATTTTGCCGCGAATTCTAATATTCTCTTCAAAAACCAAAGACGGTCACCTCGGAAAAGTCGATAAGAGTACTATCTTTACTCGCAGTTGTAAGTGTATACTAAGATGGCTGTACAATTGTTAAGAGTAACCCACGAGGGGATTGGAGATACACTCTTAGCACCATCGTAACTTTCTCGTAAAGCGTTCGCAAGTTTTCTCTTAAATGAAACTTAAGATAGGTTTTCATGATACTGGCCCCAGTTTAGTATTTGAAACTGTATGTATAGTTATTGAATTCGAAGCTAGTCTCAGATAAAGGATTTTTAAATAGTTTAACCACGCCACATATTTATGTGCCCGTCTAAATTCAGTGTTACTCTTATGTCAAATCAGTTTTTGTTCTTGTTGATAATTTGAAGTTCAATGCAGATCGTCGCAGTCGCTGTTATTTTTATTCACATTTTATCAGACTTTGGGTTATTTTAAAAATGTCCGCTTGTAGAGACACCTGTCATTTGTTGATAACAATACGGTGAACTGCAGTAAATTCCACCTTTTTGTCGTTCCGTTGCTGTCTCATTGACGTATACCTTCATATCCTTTCATTCGTACTTGATACATGCATATGCAAAATTAGTTTTAAAATAATATCGTTCACTCTTTTAAAAAGTCATCACACCTATTAAAATTAGTTCTGTACATCAATTAACATAACTTATGTAGATAAAACAGTATGTAACATTTACATATTTACAGAATCATGTACTAACTTCTTTAATATATGAAGATAAGTGTTCTAATCCAGACTTGTATGAATCATAAAATGAATAGATCATAAAGCCATGTTCTACTCCATCCCAATGTTTATAATTTAAAGGATGATTAATTCGTCGTAGGCGGTGTCCTAAAATCATTCCTTCGTCCCGTAAACCGTCATATTCTGCTGTTATAAGATAAGTCTTGGGAAGAAGTTTTAGCTCTTCATCTGTTGCCATTAAAGGTGCAAAATAAGGATTAAGTATAACATTGGCAACTTTGTTTGCAATTTCTAAATTTTCTTTTGAGTTGTCATCGTCTGGTAACATTTGGTACTTCCACGTCAGGTGGCTTGGATCAATCAATTTTCGGTATTTCTTCTTTGTTTCGCGTGTTGTATGAGTGTTTTCTATAAAGTATTCCACGTACTGATCCCCGCCAAAACCATACAGATTATAGTAATGTATCATTGTCTTCTTAGTAACAGGTGTATAGGTATTTCTCATTGACATATCAAACTCCCGGTAAGACGATAGGTTATAATCCATAGCTTGTAATGCAGGATAAATAAGACCTTGGAAATTTAACTTCGGTTTAATGTTTTCTTTCCCAAAATAAAGGGAAACTGCCATTGCCAAATTTCCACCAGCACTATCGCCTATGGAAAAAAACAAGATTAAGGCAAAAGTAAAACGCTTAACGACAAGTGTCAAGATAAATGCAATAACATTGTATGTTTCACTTTATTTAGGACGAAAGGGTAAGATTCTGGGTTTGGTTTCGTTTTCTTTCATGCATTGTATTCTATGGGTAGCATTTCGGTTATATTTAGAACGGTGACTATATAAAGTGTAAATAATGACAGTGTACGTTCATGTTCTGACATGCGTGCAATATATGCCACTGGATGTTAATCAAATAACCAATCAATCTTTGGGTAAAATATAGCTTACGGAGTTATACAAATATTCAAATTGTTCTATTTTTCTATTTCTAATAAACGATTTCCATCGTTAACTAAATAATCAATTAAGAAATTTTCATTTCTAGCACATTATATTCGTAATGCAGCCAATATAATTATTCAAAGATCAAATTTCTACCTGCAACGCCAATTTTTGAGGAATCAACACCAAATGTAGCTGCATTTTTCATAAAATATTTGGTAGCTTTCACACAGTCATCAAACGCTGCTGGGAATACATGTTCTGGTGCAAGCCTGTAGCTATAATGAATCGAAGAGGAATAGTTTATAATTCAGTACAGTCAATCCTTTCAATGACAAATTAAAAAGAAGTATAGAGTTTAATTGGTCTACACCGTAAAAACATTGTATAACCCTTTACTGTGAACTTATTATTCCGAAATAGAAAAAAGTAATTATATCTTTCGTGTTTTTATGATTTTTCTTTGTTTCACATTTTGCGAATCATGCACTTTACACAGTCTCCTTACCAAATCTGACAAACGTTTAACCTTTGCATACCATATTGCACGTTTATCGCCGATTTTATTTGCTTTCTGTACAACTGTTCACTTATTTTGAAAGCATTTATTCAGTAATATTTCAGAAAAATAAAAAGATAAATGCTTTATTTTTTTTTCTGGATTTTTAGTTAAAGTTCAACAATTAAGCCAAAGTTGTATGCAAAATTTTACCAAAATCTGTGACATAGCCCATTTACTGTACCTTTATCCTAGCTTGAATGTTCTTATTTTTGATAATTTTCACAGTTTTGTAATTGTCATGCACATAAGGTTTTTGTATACGATAAAGTGAGACGAACGTCATGATCTAATTTAAATTAATCCACTAACGATTTTATCTTATTATATCGATTATTTGCACTCATTTTAGTAAATGCATCACTATGCAGCCACATTGTCAATGAATGGTACTACTGACCTAGCTATGCAAATGACCCACGTTGACGTCACACCGTTTATGATGTAACTCTCACAACATTGCGCGCCAAATTCGACCCATTTCAGTTTCTCTGTCTCTGTCTCTAGTTTAAAAACATCTTATATTTGTCTACCTGTAGGGTTCTACCAAAGGTAGTACTCTACACCCCGTTAAAAATATGTCAAATTCCCAAATTTCAATAAAAGATATTTAAAAAATGAAAAAAACGTTGGTTACACGTTAAACTTTGTGGTCGAATTTCTCTAAAAATCGCCAGATTTAGACTAAGACCGGGGATAAATTCGTTATCTACGTTCATATCCGTAGATATGGATATTTTAACACCCTTCAGTACCCTGTACACCCTTCGGCTGCGCCTCAGGGTGTACTTGGATACTTCAGGGTGTTAAAATATCCATATCTACGGATATGAACGTAGATAACTTATATTATAAACCGACAGTATAAATAAATCATTTTTCTAGTGCATTTGAGAGGTTGTTTGGCAGTTGTAAATATATGATAGACCGGCAGTATGAACAATTATTTTTTCTAGTGTAGTTGATGGGTTGTTTGACCCTTGTAAATACTCACTCCACTGAAACAACAATAGCCTGAGTCTTTTTAGCAAGGGCTCTGGTGAATCTATCGTATCCGTCTTAAAATAAAAACAATTACAAGTGTTGTTAACTTGCAACAATTAATAGAAGACCACAAAAAAAAGAAAAATAAATTTTCTAATTATCAAAATAAATTCAATTACATGAGACCCACTAGAACAATCGTACCCTTTCAATCTTGCTATGAGTCCGAATAACTGAGAGTACCATCATACATTTAATCATGTAATGGACTTTCAATGGCATTTTTAAACTTTGTGTTTCTGTAGGTCAGAGTTTCTCTGCGAATATGAACTAAATATTGATTGAAGTTTTTTTCTTCTCTATTTTATCGTTACTATTTTCGAAACACTTCATCATTAAACAACAATGTCATACAACTTCAGAAATTAAAGCCGCGATATATTCCTGTAAACAAAAAAAAACGAACCTATCAAGGTCTATATGACTTTTTTTTTAAAAAAAGATTTGTCTTAATAAACCGAACTTGAGCAGACATTTTGCTATCAAAAACACCTTTCCATTTTTTACACTTTATTTTAACGAACTGAATTGTAACGTAAACATGCGACACCGTACTCGCATTGCAGTGGCCATATAATTGTGTGAAGTTTGAGTTTAAAATTCGTGCTTTTAGTTGTTTTAAAGACTGCGTTAGACGGATATGTGCCCTTTCTAGTAAAAGAAAAACTACACGAAAGACGTTCAGTATTTTTTTGTGTAATTAACATACTTTTTTATTGTGTATATATCGCTCGATAGAGGTTCAATGCAGTATGTATTATCATTTATATTTTTTTGTATAGAAATGTCCACAATCTTCTTGGAATTTGGCTTTCTTTTTCATCAGACATGTATAATTCTTACCAACGCTTAACAAAGTCCAGCCACCTCCATGAATGTACACTACACCGGGTCGTAATTCTTTTGACGGAGTTGTTGGTTTGTATATTCTCACGCCAATGCCATCAAATGTACCTTCTTCTGCCTATACACGACAAACAAAAGTTTTAGAAAGGACTTTATATTTTTATTCTCCAGCAGTGTGCTTTTACATATACTAATTTCGGGATTTTGATAACATATACATGTATACTGAAGCGTAACTGATCATTCCCTTTCATTGAAGCCAAGAAAATTTTAACGACAAATTTTTCTTATGCAATGAATGTTGTAAACTTTCAAACTATCGGCAAAACAGATATCAGGGCAGATGTTAACATTGCTTACCCGCTACAAATCAATATTATCAAGCTGCAGACCAAATATGAAATCATTCCATTTCAAAGAAGCCAAGAAAAGTTTAACGAAAGTTTTTCTAGCACAAAGAATGTAGTAAACTGCAAGAAAAGTTTGACGAAAGTTGTACACCCAAGGTTTTTCGGACGGACGGAGTCGAACGGCTACTAGACCTGCTTTCGCCTTTAGCGACGCTGGTAAAGATTAACGGTATCATCTATGTCTATTATGAAACGACCATTGGAAACATATGTGACTTATAAATGAAATAGTCTTTCGGGCACTCGTATGTTTCCATTTGTAAAGTTGTTTTGGTGCGTTTTGTGCCGATCTGATAAGTAAAGCCTTTTCCTACTGCTTTTCACAGTTTGTTATTATGTTACGTTGTTCATCATTGTTCGGGTTAAGGGGAGGAGTAATCGCTCACAAATATGTTAAGCCCACCACAATCGTTATGTGCATGTTCCAAGTCAGGAACCTGTAATTTAGTGTTTGTTGTTGGTTGCTGTCTGCTGTATTAGTTTTCGTTTATTGCTTTTAGCACAATTTGGCCGTTTCTTTTCTCTGTTGAATTGTGTCACATTTTTTAATTCCGTTCTTTTATTGCTTCTTATGCGGTATGGGTTTTGCTAATTGTTGTAACCTATAGTTGTTTACAGCATAGGCCTTTGGTGTCTTGTGGATAATCATACCTTTTTATTGTGTATAATAAAGAATGTATTGTTATAGGAACCTTCCTGTTTAAATTGCTAAGTGGACAAATAATGATGAAGTTCTAGATAGACATAATTTAGGTAGCATTTATTTCATGTTTATCCATCTTATTTTTGGCAGAATCCAATAATCTTGCTTAAAGTATGTACATATAGATCATCATGGACTAAAAAATTAAACAAGGAAACAAAATGAAGTAAATTTTTTATACCTCAACGCCTTCTATTTTGGGATGTAGATATTTTCCCGCCATAAGAAACACATCCGTTACCGCACGAGTTGCGTTTAAGCGGGAGAATCCAAACAATTCAGCAAGACGTCCCTACATGAAAAAAATAAGTTGTATACTAAGCTTATATATTATTTCCCAATAAATAAATGTAGAATATCTGATTTTTCCCAACCATACCTGAAATTTACATGTATACGAAAAATGAATAGTTTTACGTCTTTAGCTGTCAGGCAGAAGAAACACACATTTCAAAGCTTGGTTATATCTTCAATAACTTAAAATCATGGCTTAAAATTATCACTTCCAGACACTTGTATAGCAGTAATATCAATCTTTGAAAAGAAAAAAATGTTTCTAAAGAACCTTGTCAGTGGTTTTCAATACTTAAGGAAATCTTGTGATTATCTTTGATTATTTTTTTTCAAAAACTTTTCTACACTCGTGGCGATTTAGAACTTGACATGATGTTTAGCCAATTGTCTATGGTCGAAGGTCACATGTTTACTTATTGGTTGCTTTTGTGTTGTTAGATTGATTTCTTATTGACAAGTACTCCACATTGTGTTTTGTTCACAAAGAGGCCGGATGGCGCTGTTACAAAGAAAGCGGTTACATGGGACGCATAAAATTTATGAAGTATTGTTTTCATTTTCATATAGAACGATAGCATTGAATTTGTCTTGGAACTTTACTTGTTTCTTCTTTGTTATCTTTGACATTTAAAACTTATATTTAAATACAGTAGTAACGTTATTTAGATATGTAAATTCAGCAATGTAAGTAGGGAATAAAATTGATTATACTTACAACATCCTCAACAATTTTGAGCGTTATTGCAGGAACGTGTTGTTTATATGGTTCAATGGCATCTTCTGGTAGTGGAATGTAAGCGTAATACGCCACGGAAAAAAGTATGATAGGTGCAATTACCCATCGCTTCATTGTTGTAAATCAATGGTAGATGATAGAATGAAAGAATTGTCTGAAGAAAATATAAAATCCTCGAGTAACGTGCTATTGATAAACTATCTACTAGTATGTATAGAAAAATGCTTCCAACTTAAAATTCTTTTGAAAATATCATTCAAAGACATCTATTAGCATAGTTGTTTAAGAACCAACATTCTCTTACTGTTTTCGGTTTTGTAATATTAATCATATTTTTCATTCGAACATGTTAAAAACTATCTGGTAAATCTTTTTATTTTTTTTGTTGCTTTCCTTTTTTGTAAATTCTGTCAAAGATTGAAGTAAATCAGTATTTTGATAAAAAATTATGCTACTATTGACTTTAATGTCATTGGTGTTTTACCATTCTAAGTGCCTAGAGACATGTAAAGTATGCACGTAAGCAACAGTTTAATATAAAAATGAGGATATGTGGTATGATTGCCAATGAGACAACTATCCACCAGAGTTAAAATGAAGTGGTAGTTTGCAATTATAGGCCCCCGTACGGCCTTCAATAATGAGAAATACACATACATGTACAGTATAGTCGGCTATCATAGGCCCCGACTCTAAATAATCTATATATCTTACGTCCCTATAATTCAAATACGATTACTCGGTTGGATAATATTACATGTACTCTTCACCCTTGTAACGTGGTCTTAGATGCCTAGGTTTTATACTTTAAACATTATTATTGTTATTGCTACTACAATCTATATTAATTTAATACAATGTAAAAGTACGTTTAAAATAACAAAAATAATAATTTAATACTGGGGCTTACCTTGTCCACCTGAAATCCAGGTTATCATGCGATATCCATGTGATAAAGTCATATCTAATGTCAAAAGTTTACAATCTATCATTTTATTAAAGCACATGGTAAAATTTTACACACTACATGTACAAATATTTACCCGTTTACATATGTGTCTAAAGGAAAGGTAGATTAATTTCGAGTGTAAAATAATTTTGATAATAATCTATTGATTTAAATACATGTATACATTTAAGTGCTTTCAGAGAGAACATGTTATGCTAATGTTATTGAAAAATACTAATTATCTATACCTTTTTGTAAGTATATATTATTTGTTTTAGTACAATATGATTAAAAACATTATGTATACGTACGTAGTCTTTCCATATAATACCCCCAAAAGGTCAGCCAAAAGCCTACAAATATACAAAAGTGAAGAAAACAAAATATAATAACTAAAAATGGTATATCGAAATATGTATTTAATGTGAAGTTTCAGTTCTGTACATAGAGAAATTAATAATGATGCCGGATCATATTTTGTTAAACTATTTTAAACCGACTTATATTTGTTTCCTTATCGACAAAATACGGTCCGATTCAAGTTAGGTACCAGTTGAAATACGGCAAGATGCAATTGTATCGGAAGAAAAGAGATGGTCAGGACGCCTAAACATAATCATTTAACCCACGAAGCTTTTCTAACCTATTTCTTTCGAAAAGTTCCAATTCAAGTTATCACCTACTTGAGTGTATTTCCTGTTTCCAAGACCGCAACACAAACGTAATATGCATCAAAATTTATAATTTAATGTAAAGCATTTTTTTTTACTTTCGACTGTTGTGTGTGTTTTTTTTAGCTTGATTATAGTATGTTTTAGTCTTAGATGCATGATTTTTTTTATTAGTTGTTGTTGGCTTTGAACTAGCTGTCAGTAACTGCGAGTACTCTCAGATCTGTACTTTGTGTCTTTTTGTTGTGGGGAAGTATAAGTACCATGCCACGTCCACTCTGTGTTTTTGTTATATGTATTTCTATTTATATCCATCTGATGAGTTAAGCCTTTTTGAACTGATTTTTATAGTTTGTTCTTATGTTGTACTGTTACACCACAGTCCAAGGTTAGGGGGAGGGTTGGCGCCTTCAAACGAGTTTAACCCCGCCACATTCTGTATGTGCCTGTCCCTAGTCAGGAGCCCGTGAATCAGTGGTTGTCGTGTGATGCTGTGTAACATATTTGTTTTTCGTACATTATTTTGTACATACATTAGGCCGATAGTTTTCTCGTTTGAATTGTGTTACATTTGTCATTCGGTGCCTTTTATAGCTAACTATGCGGTATGGGCTTTGCTCATTGTTAAAGGCCGTACGGTGACCTATAGTTGTTAATTTCGGTGTCATTGGGTCTCTTGTTGAGAGTTGTTTCATTAACAAACCTACCACCTTCTTATTTATATAATACATATTTTTATTATCTTTACTTTTTTCATATTTAACTTACGACATTTGTTTGTTATTTGATGGGTTTGTGTTCCGTTCTGAAAGGGCAGTAACAAGATATTAAATTTTATTCAGACCTTTTCAGTAAAATGATTCACTGGCTATACAGATTTGAAATAACACACCTATAGTAAACCTTTAACTAGTTTTCAAACGAGGAGGTATCATAAGTCCCTGGAATTGTAAATAAAAACTTCAATCCTTTCAACATAATGGTATGATACTAAACCCCTAACGGGAGGGATTGTACTTGATTTTCATATGATGAAGACATAATCTTCCAATCAGTTTAATTGTGGTCTGGAGCTGGCATGTCAGTAACTGTTAGTAGTCCTTTGTTCATTTATGTATCATTGTCATTTGCTTAGTTTCTTTTTTACCTATTCTGACATCGGACTCGGACTTCTTTTAAACTGAGTTTTACTGTGCGTATTGCTATGTGTTTCTTTATTCTACATTGACTAGAGGTATAATGGGAGGGTTGAGATCTCACAAAACATGTTTAACCCTGCCGCATTTTTGCGCCTGTCCCAAGTCAGGAGCCTCTGGCCTTTGTTAGTCTTGTATGGTTTTTAATTTTAGTTCATTTATATGTTTTGGAGTTTAGTGTGACGTCCATTTTCACTAAACTAGTACACAATTTTATTTACGGGCCAGCTGAGGACCACCTCCGGGTGCGGGATTTTCTCGCTGCGTTGAAGACCCATTGGTGGCCTTCGGCTGTTGTCTGCTCTTTGGTCGGGTTGTTGTCTGCTCTTTGGTCGGGTTGTTGTCTCTTCGACATATTCCCCATTTCTATTCTCAATCTTATTATAAAATATAATTTATAAATGTATCAAATAATACAATATGATGAATACTTCAATGCAGAATTGTTGGCTGTTATGTCGTATTGATTTTATAAACATTTACAAATTAACATATTGGCCATATAACACATACATTGTAATGATTGGCAAAATTTGAATATGAGCCAAAGTCTTACCTTAACAGATATTTCTGAACACATCATCATATAAAAATAAGGAGATGTGGTATGATTGCCAATGAGACAACAATCCACCAAACATTAACAATCAGAGAAAAACGTGACCTTGTGCAGTGCTTAAATATAATAGGTTTCGACAGATTGTAGTACCGTGAAAGCGCATATGTGTATAACAATACTATTCAATATGGTTTTAATTTACTGATAACAAAATCAATATTTATACCAATAAAACACTATTCAAAGATCTAATAGCAGTGTAGAATTGGTACGTATGTCTAACGCGATCAGCGTTGCAAATGTATATCAAAACTGTGAATATCCAAACCAGAAACCCCAATATAAGACTGATTGTCACCTGAATGCATCAATATTTATGTCAGGACACAACGTGCTCGATTTTTTAGGCCATCTATAAGAGAATGATTTCAATTTAAATTTCATTTATTAAAAACGACGAGCAATATTATTTACAACAGGGGGGATAATCTTACAAAATGTATCATTTAAAAGCGTTTAATTCCTCTGATAAAAAGGTGGGGTACAAAAAAGGCCAATAACAAAAAGGTTGAGTACCAAAAAAGGCCAGTAACAAAGCAATTACAAAACTCACATCATATATACAAGGTGGTTAGTTACTGGGTTTGGTGGTAGGTAAAAAAGTAATCCAGAGAACATTTTTCGCCCTTTCTTGTCAGAGATAAATTTCAACGACATAACACATCTGTTATTTGATTGGTTCGCTGAATATATAATTGAATAATTATGAACTTTACACTTAGTTCAAATGACTGTTTAATACAAATGGCAGTTTCCACGAAGACATAAATGAATTTATTTTATGTTAAACATAATCAGTGTTGCAAATGTAAATAAAATCTGTGGATAGCCAAAAGAAAACTACCACATTTCACTGAATATTCCCTGAATGCAAGAACTTTTATGTCAGGACAGACCTTGTTTTGTATTTTGGAGGCCAATTATTAACACGTAGAAAGATTCCAGTCAGTCATCAAAACGACGAGAAAAGTATTTACAACCATGGGAGAGTTAATTTTACAACATATTGGTAAAATAAATCTTGTACATATATACCTACTGGTTTCCAAATATGATCTCCATGTTTCATCTCATAGAGACACAGCTTGGGAACGTTGCCAGTATAAATACAGTTGGATAGCGGTCAAATTGAATTCTCAGGAATACGCAAAGTAAAGGGAGTGGAAGTACAGAATTTAAATCAAAGCATCAACAGTGCTGTGATCCATCCTTTTTAGCTCACCGGGGCCCGAAGGGCCCCATGTGAGCTTATGCCATCACTTGGCGTCCGTCGTTGTCCGTCGTCTGTCGTCGTCGTCTGTCGTCGTAAACTATTTCAAAAATCTTCTCCTCTGAAACTACTGGGCCAAATACCTTCAAACTTTAACTAAATGTTTCTTAGGGTATCTAGTTTATAAATTGTATCCGAAGTTTTGATCCATCGACAAACATGGCCGCCATGGCTAAAAATAGAACATAGGGGTCAAATGCAGTTTTTGGCTTATATCTCAAAAACTAAAGCTTTTAGAGCAAATCTGACATGAGGTAAAATTGTTTAATTGGTCAAGATCTATCGGCCCTGAAATTTTCAGACGAATCGAACAACCCATTGTTGGGTTGCTGCCACCGAATTGGTAGTTTTAACAAAATTTTGCAGTTTTTTGTTATTATTTTGAATATTATTATAGATATATATAAACTGTAAGCAGCAATAATGTTTAGCAAAGTAAGATC